TGAGCTAATCTGTTCTTTGGAATTTACACTGCCAGGCCCAAAAAAAGTCACCATCTGGACATAGCAAGTAGGTCAGAGCCTTCCATTGGATAATTAGTTTAGGTTCAGGAATACTATGTGACCAAAAAATGAGGTCAGCTGCCTACCTGAAAATACTGAATGACCAGGTTTTTACATCAATGGGTTTGTTCTTCCCTCATGGCACATTGGGCATATTCCCAGATGACAATGTCAGGGTTCTTTCGGACTCAGATTGTGAAAGAGTGGTTCAGGGAGCGCGAGACATCATTGTCACACATGGATTGGTCATCACAGAGTGCAGACCTTAACCCCATTGAAAATCTTTGGGATGTGCTGGAGAAGACTTTACACAGAGGTCTGACTCTCCCATCATCACTACAAGGTCTTGGTGAAAAATGAATGCAACTCTGGACGGAAATGAATGTTGTGACATTGCATAAGCTCATCGAAACAATGCCACAACGAATGTGTGCTTTAATCCAAGCTAAAGGCGATCCAACGAAATATTTCAGTGTGTGACTTTTTTTGGCCAGACAGTAAATAGTACGTGGCTGAATCTCTGGTAACCCTCTGAGATTTGTATTGCTCCTGCCTGTTTTCTAGTGGAATATACTGTATTTTGCTCAGGGCTTGTTTTCATGTAGAAGATGCATTATCCAGTATCTCGTGTCCAGTCAGAAGTATACTGTCAGTTACTGGTATCCAGTAGAGCAAATATTGCCAGTATTGGGTATCCAGGAATCGGATCCTATTACCAGGTAACCTGTAGAAAGTCTATCGGTAGTTATACTGGCATGTTCTTGCCTCTGAGTTTTTTTTTTTCAAACAGTACGAGTTTTATTACACCAATTGTAGCACACAGCTAGATGCCAGGATTAAAACAGTATCACTTCATGCGTATCAGTCTCTTTAGTATCCATTGCATGACAAAGTAACAACATTTTAGAGTGAAGGAGACAATGTGACCAGCAAATATTCACAATCACAAGTCTCTAATAAACAAATTCCAGTAAGTTTATGTAGAACTGTTAGTTATGAAACAATAGGATTCTACTGCAAATGTGATGTTGTATTTATTCAAATTCTGCACCAAGAATCTCTAATACCAATTGATTGCAGGTTTTAAAGTAGTATTAAAGTCTCAATTTGTTTTACATTTCTTGCTAGCAAGCAGTACATATATGCAAAAACATTTAAAAAAGTAAAAAAGTTTATTTTTTTTTTAATTCTTTATTGACTGAGGGAAAAAAAAGTCAAATACAAAAAAACATTGTATGTGGTTACAGAGCATGGGCATAAATTCCACAGAACAATATTAATTTTTACCGCGGTGCAGCGTCCCAGCCAAGAAACTGCCTGAGTTGCCTCTGGCAATGATCACATTAGAATTCTATTTTAGGAGATTTTTTTTAAAAGCTTAGTAAGCGATGCAGACAGACAAGTACTTATTAATGAAGTAATAAAAGTGGCATTTTGAATTTATGGAATTAGAATAGCTCTGTTATAAATGCAGGTGATACATTTTGGTATTGTGACTATCCCTCTGAAAAATGTTAATGGCTTTTGAATTTTTAAATAAGCAATGGGTTTCCTATACCATACGCTAGGCATAGTTCCTGTTGTAACCTGTGTACATTACATTAATGTGAATAAACACTGAATCATTATTACAGGCAGTCCCTGGGTTATGAACAAGGTAGGTTCTGTAGCTTTGTTCTTAAGTTGAATTTGAATGTAAGTTAGAACAGGTACATTTTTTAAGTGCAACTCCAGCCCCGATTTTTTTTCTTTTTTTTTTAGTTTTGGATAGCATAGGGAAGGGTTAACCCCCTGTAAAGTTTGTTTTGCTGTGTGTGCCCCTGTTAAAAAGTTTTCTCCTCACTTTCTGTCCCTGTGACAATTGGATTTAGAAAACGTTGGGTTGTTGTGGAAACAAGGATTGGTGATAAAGCTTCAGTGGAGACACCTTTTTCCCATGATCATTCTTACAGGAGTGAATTTCCCTTCCTAGTTGTAGATTTACTCTCACTTCCTGTTGTCTCAAAGACAGGAAGTGAGATGGATCTTTCTAATGAGGATAAAGACAGCAGTAAAAACCTCACAGTGACCCGGAAGAAGAGGTGGGCACCCCTTGTCTGCACTTCTAACAAGATGCCAACTTCCTGTAATGTATGTACAGTACTACGAACCAGACCCAAAAAGGCGAGCACTCCTCGTCAGTACAAGCGCAGTAGCATTACAACTACCCCTGCTGTACAGTAATAGCCTCTGTTTGTAAGTAGGAGTCGGATGTATGTAACCCGGGGACTGCCTGTATTAAAAAACAATAAAACTGTATTTAGGATTTTATTTCTATGTTTTAAAGGGTAGCATGGGATCCTTTTGGAGTCCTGCTTGTGACGCTTATGAAAGTTGCGTGTCGACAGAACTATAGCAGTGTAATAGAATGTATGCAATGCTAATTCCTGTGCTTGCTTACATACAGATGTGTGCGATAAGCTTATGAGTATTGCCCTGAAGTCATATTAGTCATGGGAACCTTTTATGTACAGAGACTGATAAAATGTTGATGCTGCAGGTACATGCTGGAAATGCATGTAATTTATAGAATAAAAGTGAAAGGAATTTTGTAACGGATTTGCAAATGGAGAGACATGGAGAGGAAGAACGAATACCTCAGAGGAGGAAAAAAGTCTTAGTTGGCTAGCCCAGTCGTGCCCATATACACCCCACCACTATAACTTGTCTTTATTGTGCATTTGGACTTTAAAGCAAAGCTGGATAAATAACATGGAGCCAGGTAGCCAAGGCTCCTTACAAAGTTCAACTGATGCCTAACTTTTGAGGTTTCTCTAGTTGTTGTCAATGGAGATAACTCCTAAATTGGACAGACTGGCTCTTAGATACCATATTAGTTTAAATACCTCTGCCCTACGGTATTTGTAATGTCATGCAATGCAAAGCTTTCACTTTCCACAAGCATACCTTGTAGGAGAAAACATAAAAAAGCTCAGTAAATCGCTTTTTACTTTCATTTATCCGCGGTCACGTGACCACTACAACTGGCCATACACTGTGCCAATTTCGGCTAGTGCTTGATGAACTGGCTGAAACTTGGACAGTGGGTCCAAACTGGGCTCGAAGTCTAAGCTATTCCCCTCCACCACTTCTGTCCCATTACCTACTGCTTATCATTTGTCAGCAGCTCTTGGTACCCACCAGCTGCTGGTACCGAGCACAGCTGTGGAGACGGCCATAGTCTCCGTCAAAGGGTATCATTCAGTCCGAGCCAGCCCCATCGGGTTATGTCTGAACACAGATTCTGCCCTTTTGACAGAGAATATGCCTGTGTTTGCATATTGACAGCTGGAAGCAGCCTGGAACTACTGAGAGATGAATATAAGACCACCTCTTGTCAGCAATTTAGGTTATAGGACAGTATGTGGGGTTGTTAACATGTTTAATATTAGAACATGGTGCAAATACCTATGTTGCATTCCACGGCCTCGACAAATCCCAGGAGCCAGGTAGCCAATGTTCCTTAAAAATTACAGCTGGCTCTTAAATTGTAAGGTTTTCTCTAATTGTTGTCAATGCAGCTAGCTCCTAAAACAAATCTTCTGGCTCCTGCATTGGACAGATTGGCTCCTGAATTCATATTAATTTGTCCACCCCTGTGTAAAGTATGGCCTCATGCTTGTAACAAATAAATGACCCTTTAAATGAAAACCTGAAAATGACTTGTCTGTCTTTTACATGAATAACCCAGTTTCCAGTGATGGGGGGCATGTAGACAGATTGTCCTATCAAAACATTAATACTTTGTTATTATATAACACATGAAACATACTTTTAAGGACATGTGTTTGTCTTTGTGAACAGGACTCTAGATCACAGGCTACTTCAGGCCATTGTCAGCTTGATGAATCTCCGTGAATTCTGCTCAGTTCAAATAGACAAAATTCCACCTACTTAATACAATAATAAACATTGTACTTTCTTTAGACGGAAGATAGAAATAGCATCACTTATGACACTTTGAGCATGAGAACCGTGGAGAAGTGATGAAAGATAATGGGTTTATCTAGACATTGCAGACCACCCACCGCCAGACTTGGCTGCAAGAGGGTGAGGTGGCCTGGCGCTCACCGAGAACAGTGCTGTGTCCCATGCTGGTATCTGTAGTCTAAGGGCTTTGCGTGTGTTAAATTAGATTTGATAACTTTGATCAAATTCTTCAGTCGGATTTAAAGGAATGTAATACAAAATGCATAAGGCAGCAGTAAAGGTATTGTTGGTCTTGCTATTTAGCCATGTGCCTTTTGCCATTGAGTGCAATGTTGGCATTTAGTAATAACCTATAGAAAGTTCTGTTTATTCTATAGACTATTTTTTTAGTGCTAATTATAAAAAAGAATGTATTCTTATTTATTAGACCTTAGAGATCCTTTGTGAAAGAATAATGTAAATGGTTCAGTGAACTCTATACTGTGCAGGAAAAAAGTGTCAGTGCGATTATTGGAGTAAAATATATGCTTGGGAATGTTGTCATTGTCATTAGCTGAACTCCAGCCAAACAGTTAAATACACATATAAATGTGGAGCTGCATTACCAGACAGCCTCCAACCTTTGATTGGACAGTGGAGGAGTATCAGGAGACTGATGGGGTTATCTCTCCTATTGCCAGCACGTGTTTCAGTTCTTCTGCATGCAACAGAACCAACTGACAGTACTGGCCATCCATTTCCCATTTTTATATATAGGGATTAGGAGAAGCTGATGTTGAGAAAATAAAAATACATTGCCATACCACTTCATCATCTGCTGCCCACACATGTCAGTGTTCCCATTTGGTCCTCATGTCAGACTTAATGTTTAGCTTCCTGCATGGCTATCTGTTTAGAGAGTACAGTGGCTCTTCAATCAATCTATAGGTATGGTTGCTGTGCACTTAGTCAGCATGTGTTTACTTTTCCAGCAACAAGTTCCACAAAACTGGAAGACTTGAATTACCTGGATGTACAGCGAAATGCTCCTCTACGCACCTCCATCCGAATGCCCTGGCATAACACAGCAGGATCACGTGTGCAGCAGGAAATTAAAGGTAAGGAAATCTTTCCAACCTAGTGTACATATCAGCCTGCATGGCAAGAAGAGTCTGTGGATTTATTCAATCCAAAATGAATTTTGGATTGAACCAATTAGACTGTCTTTGTGAGCACACAAAGCAGTTGCCTCCTTGTTTTTTTAATTTTTTTATATTAATTTATAACCTGGAGTGTAATTATCTTTTAGATTGTAAGCCCTCACGGGCAGGGCCCTCCTTACCATCTTGTCTTAAATTGTATTGTGACTGTAATGTCTTCCTTATATTGTAAAGCGCTGTGCAAACTATTGGCGCTATACAAATCCTGTATAATAATAATTACCCCCGGGCCCCATAGCAAAACGTTTTATATGCCTCCCCCCCTTCCTAAACAGAAAACAATGCCACTGAACAACACCCTATCCAGGAGGGTTATATTTGTGCATACAACCAACACTGAATCTGGGGGTGAGTTTATTATCGTTAAAGTCAAAGGAAAGACTAAAAAATAAACTGCCTTTTAAATGTCGCCTCCCCACTGCTGTTATGTTTGCTGCATACACAAAGCTCTGGTGAGTGTTTGCTTTCTGTGTTAACAAATATACCCCCCAGGGTCAGTAAAGTTATACATTTCTCTATGCTCAACAACCCCCCCTTCCCCTCCACTGACAGGCCTCCCACTGCCCCACCATGCATTAAACAGTGGCACTGGCAAATTAATGGTCAGTACCTCTGGTGTGCTCTCTCTGTTCTACTAGCTAGCTTTGCATCAGAGCCAGAACTATCAGGCAGACATTGAAAGTAGATCACTCTATGTTCTGTACTGCACTTGCCTGACACAGACAGAGAGGAGGAAGGGGGCCCAGGCACAACATGCAAGGAAAGCAATAGCTGTGGGCGCCAATGGAGACCAAGGGACACCTTAGTTCCTGGTTCTGGCTGGGCCCCCCTTTTGCCCCGGGCCCCATATTGGCCACGTGGGTCGCTCTGGCAGTAGTTCCAACAATGTTCTTAACCAACATATACCCAAAATAACTTATAAGGTTCTACAAATTCTCCAATGCCATACTCCCTGTACCTGGTGAAATCACTGTGGCTCTTGTTGTGTCTCTGGAGTCCTACCAGCTCTTGTGTGAAGCAAGCACGCAAGCAGTGTTTGCAGGCTTCAAGGCTACCATTCTGAAATCCTTTGTAACAATTTTGTTAGAAATGCAGCCCTTTTAAAATGTAAAGAGTGGTATGGTGCTAAATAAAACAATTAGTCATTATCTATGAATGTCAGATATTTGCGTAAATATACCACAAATTCTTGTTCTGGAAGTCTTTGCAGAGGTGTAGTGAGCATAAAGTCTAAAAGTAAACATGAGTATAGATCATAGAATATAGAATGGAATAGATCATGCAAAAAAATGTTATGCCTAGTATAGTAATCCCAGCACTTCTGACTACAAGATGTCTAGGCAACCCATTGCCTTCCTGATGGTTCTTGAGAGACTGCTGTCATCAGGTTTTCTCCTCCTAATCCAGCCAGCCCTTTTACTTGGTCTCACAGGAAACAATATTTCCAGAAACGCTGCATCTCCTAGTGCTATTCAGTCCAATGTTTTTCTGATGTTTACTGAAATGCAGATATAAACCACTATATTTATAATGTAATTAATTATGTGTAAAAGCGGTCAGGAGATATTCCTGCTTTATAATGGCCCATCTCTGTATGATTGCATGAAAATGGGACAGAGCCCAGATGTAGTGTGGAAAGGACCTATTGTCAGGTTGCCTAAAATGAAATATGGGAATTATGGACAGTGGTACCTCGGTGCACGAGCTTAATTCGTTCCACGATTCTGGTCGCGAACTGAATTGGTCACGAACCGGATTGGTCTGCGAACACAATCTCGACTAGAGGAATCCACGACCACATGTCAGAGCGGGGAAGATGGGCGCGGTCGTGTTCGTCACTCGATTTGGAGTTCACGAACGGAAGCAACATTTTGACGAACTTCCTGTCTGCGAACCGAATTGTTCGCGAACAGAAGCGTTCATGGACCGAGGTATTACTATAGTTGGAAAACAAAATCTTTGTGTGGAATTGTGAATATAATATATTGCTCAAAAACTGGGTAAGTGCCCTTCAGAGCGATGCAGAGAAGGATCATCCACAAGCAGGAAGGAGTGGTTGGCTAATAATGAAGAGTACTCCACAATGTAGCAAACAGGTTCAGAATGTCCCGGGGAAGTCTTGCTGCATTACTTTTATCTTGCAGTAGTGTGGTTACTATATGGCAGAAAATCAATATTTTGACCTAATGATTACATAAATTGCTTTTAAGTATATGTAAACTCTAACAATGAACTTGCCTTTTTCGCCTCCTTGTGGTCTGTTAACTATACCATCAAAATTATTTTGTCATATCTGTTCGATAAATGCAAACAATACCTGTTGATCCTGCCACAAATCCAGTGAGCTGAAAACTTCCTGTGCACTTTCTGCCTCTGCTGCACTCTGATCAAGTTTGCATTGTTTTTAGTTTTCCCTGTGAACTTCAGAACACCTTCCGCTGTTATGGAGAAGAGGAGAGTGGAAGGTGCTCATAGTCCTAATGCACTTCCTGATGTAGGGTGACAACAAAGCTCCTCTATAAATACAGTATGAGTGTTGCCACCCTAGGACAGAGAATGTGTTAGTGGCAGAATCTTCAGGGGAAAGAAGCCTGTAAAAAATAATGCAGCCCCCACATCTAAGCACCGGTAAATTGCAGTATTTTATATTTTTCTTCAGTATGTTTTGGTGCTTCAAATATAATATCCCAACCACATTCATAAACACGTGCACATATTTTGGGTCAGTTTTAATGGAAGCCAATAATTGGGCCAGTATGGTTTTTAAATGGAATAAGAGTACCAAAGCATCTGGATGAAACCCCCACAAATATGGCAAGAATGTACTTCTTTGCAGCTAGTCTCCTTTGTGGGAATCAAAGCCTAATTTCCCCAAGGCAGAAGTGCTAACCACTTAGCAATCCTGCTGCTCATATTAATAAAAGAAAAAAGTTATACCTATTTGGTATGAATATTGCAAATGCTGTTCAAAGAATTTTTTTTTTGAGGAATAAAAAATGTTAGGTTGGCAAAAAACGTCCTGAAATAATGTTCACACAACACTCTTCGCACACTTCGCTGCACTTGGCAGTCTTCAGTAAAATTGGCTGCCTGTGCCTTTGCCCCGTAGTCATCTTTTGTTAGTTGTATCTTTTGCTGGAGCTTGATCGCATTGCCTCATTGTAATTTAACTCTGGCTCGTCTGAAGTTGGCAGAAATGTTTTTTTGTTCGGCGATGGTGTCTGGGAATGGATGAGTTAACTGTTCATTTCTTGTTTTTCTCCACTTTGCAGCACGCTTTGTCCCCTACAAGCCACAGGACATTCTCTTGAAGCCGCTGTTGTTTGAAGTGCCAAGCATAACAACGGACTCAGTGTTTATTGGAAGGGGCTGGCTCTTTCAGGAGACTGAGGAAAAGATGAGAAGTTCAGAGCTGCCGGACAACCGCGGAGTAGTAATTGTTGGCTCCGTTGGCTTTGGAAAGACGGCAATCATTTCCAAGCTGGTGGCGCTCAGCTGTCACGGGACCCGTATGAGGCAGATTGCCTCTAGTAGCCCCTCTTCATCTCCTAAGGGTAATGTTGTATGGTCTCATGGAATATTGTGCTTCTTTAAAAAGAGAGATCAATGATGACATGTAAAGGATATTTATTTTGCTCTATCTTACTAAAATGTACCTTGCTGTCCAAACCAACTATTGGCTACATGTGAGCACCTTATCTATCCTAAAAGACTCTTCCAAGTGTAGCAAGCACATCTCCTTAGGGGAGGTGACGAGCAGCAGGGCTTGGTGAGGGTTGTGGCGGCAAAGAAGACCACATCCCTATGGGCTGTTGTGGCAGCTGGGCAGGGCTGCTCGGGGGTGTGTTGGTGAACGTGGGGGCTAAGCTAACCATGAGAGTACAGGTACAATGTGCGGATCAAGCACACAAACTGGCCATGCTTGCACAGATCTGATTCTGTGCTTGGTGTGACCTGAGAGGAGATGGAGAGGGAAACTAGCAGGATCACCAGGAATTTCATAGTAAAAGGGACTGCAGGGACAATAATATGCAGCAGGTCATTAACTAATTATTAAGGAATACATAAATGCAATATAAGGTTTAAGGTTTCCATACACTTTAGGTAGACCCAGCTATTGTTCATGATAATTGTCACCTAAAAGTGCTATTGGAATTAAGATTTCTTGGCTGCTGTTGACTTATTCGTCATATAGCCAGCTGGTTGTTGTACAAAGGTACATATATAAGGGCTTGAAATGTAGCACATGTTTCCAGAACTTCTGGAGCTGCTGTCTCTGGGTAATCCTGAGGTACCTGATTTCACTGCGGAGAGGCTCCTGCTTCTGCCAGGAAAAAGCCTATAAACAAAATGTCTCCATGGAAATAGAGTCTGCCTGTCTCACACCAGGTTACACCTACCCCATTTTGTGATTGTTTGGTCGGCAGATATTTGCTTAACGTTCTAGTCATCTGTTATATATAATTTAATGTTCAGAAAAAGAACTGAAAGCAAACCTGTCACGATCTTGGGCAATTCAAACTGGGAAAAATATGTTTTACATAGTGGTTATCTTGTGTTAAAACTGCATGTCAAAATGAATTAGTAACTCCAGAGATATAGGCAGCTGAATTTCCATGTATTTTCCTCCCCACTGGTCTTTTAATGTTATGAGTGACCTCACTGAATGGGGTTAAATAAGGCGTACAGGGACCTGCAGGACTTATTACAGGAAAAGTAAGCATTCACAATTTAATAGGGCTGGTAGTTTATCCATCCATCAATACTATTATAGCTTATTATAACTTACATGCTGCCATTGGTGAAAATGAGGCTGATTTTATCATAATTTTTTGAACAGGTATTGACCACAGTCAGGAGATCCCTCTGTCTCAGACATCACCACTGAGCCTAAATATGTGCGGGTCAACCACTATGAAAACATTGGGACCCAGAGGAAGTCCTGAACACCAAAAAATGATGGATGATTCCTTAAAACACCTGGCCTCAAAGGTGACCGTTTTTTCTTGTTTTATATGTTATCCCTTCCTTACATGTAAAGTTCAGAAACCCATAACAGTCAATCACAGTTCAGGTTGCTATATGCAAGTCTATGACAGATTGGTTACCATGGGTTATTTTACATGTGTATTGTAATATTACATAAACCTATTGGCATTATATATGATTAATAACATTTACCCACATGTGAAAATAAAATAGAATACATAATGTTGTGAGACATTTTTGAACATTTTCTTATGTTGCATCTCCACTTTATAAACACCTCTTACTCCTTGTTCTCTTTGCAGGTTGTTGCCTATCACTACTGTCAAGCTGATAACACGTATACTTGTCTGGTGCCGGAGTTTGTGCACAGTATCGCTGCCTTGTTGTGCCGGTCGCATCAGTTGACGGCCTATCGGGACCTTCTCATTAGAGAACCTCATTTACAAAGCATGCTCAGCCTGCGATCCTGCGTGCAGGACCCATTGACTGCCTTCAGAAGAGGAGTTCTGGAACCTCTGACAAACCTGCGTCGAGGTATGCAGGAAAGAAGGCGTGAGGGGGAGGGCGAGATGTGCTGCAGATTCCTTCAAGAAATCATCAGTTTTTATCAATGGTCAATATACTGCACTACAGTATATTCAGGATGTACTCACACTGGACATGGTAGAATCAAACTGTGCTCGAGTATGGTTATCCCCACTCCACTGCAATTCTGCACAGACAATGTGCTATAGGGAAGCGTTCCTGGACATGCTTACATCATCTCCTCGCCCAGCCAGACCACAGTGATGTCTCCTTCCATGATCATTGGGATTTCAGTACTCAGGCACAGTTTAGCTTAAACTGAAGTGAACCGTACTGGACTCCAACTGACCAGTGCCCCAGACCACATGTTGCAACAAACTGGACTAAATGGGTGAACCTAGTGCAAGTGCACCTTAAATCACCTATGCTATAAACAACAGCCAGTCACGGGCAATTAGAGCTCTGTTGCTGTGAAAAGGGCATAAGTGAACATGCTTAGGATTTGAGAGTTTGTGGCGCAATGCACTGGTTTTTTCCAGTGCATTGCGCCACAATGCATGGTTGTGTTACGCTGTGTCATGGTGTGAATGGCACACAACTAGGTACGTGCATAGCTGCAACACATTGCTGTGAAGATGGCCTAACTGCAGTTAGTCTTTAGGGCAGTGGTCTCAAAGTACCGGCACGCGGGCTAATTGCGACCCGTGAGCCGGTACTATGTTGCCCACAGCCAGCTGACACGTCAGATACGTGGTCACGGACCGCGTACCTGACTTGCAGGGGCAGCTACACGTTGTGCAGGCGTTTACATGGAGCTGCTGTCACCTGATCAGTAACTTGAATGGGTGATAGCTGCCGCTTGTAAACGCCAGATTAGTGATTCCTGCTGCAGGAAAGTGCAAGTTCTTGACGCAGGAATCCCTAATTGCACCTAAACTTACAGGTCTGAATAGGGCCTATTGTATTGGTGTCCGTAGTACCATACCAGATATAGTTAACTTTCATTTTGAAGTATGATATTTGGCAAGCGGCCCCCGTGGGAGAAATAAATATGTTGAGTGGCCCCCGAGTGAATTAACTTTGAGACCCCTGCTCCAGGGAATTATAGGATCGACTGTGCTGTGTGCCAGGAGAATCTAGATCAATGGCTGAACAGAATTACAAATCCTTTGGCATGTTAGACAGTTTTCAAATATGTTCTTCAGCTGTGTGTGCAGCTCTTTTCCTAGTTGGCATGAAAAGGAAACGGTACTGTATAAGTAAATAAGTATACATTTCAAGTTATTATTGTGCAATTTTCAGGAAAGTGACGTTTTGATGCGGCTCACACCTTTGCTGCTCTATATTTTCATGAGTATATTTCTTACACAGCAGTGTAGATTTTTCCCTTCTGCATATCCTTCGGTGTTCTCAGCATCTCTGCTGAAAACCTGCTGAATTAAAAATCAATTAGCCCCATGAAGTCTGTTTGTATTATGTTTCATCTGAGTAGCGTTCATTGCAGCAAAGTGCAATCACTGATCAGATTGGAGTCTCTGGAGTCCTGCTTCAACTCTTTATTAAGGAATGAGCTAAGTGCAGCAAAACATGAATTGCAAAAGTGTTGCCAGTTTTGAATTGTGTTTTACTAATAAAGATTTCAATTGTAAGAAATCATCTGGAGAGGACGTCTATTGTGATCATTTGATGTTCCGTTTTAATAAAGTTCTTCCATTTTGCAGAGCGGAAGATCCCGGAGGAAGAATTCATCATTTTGGTAGACGGTTTGAACGAAGCTGAATTCCACAAGCCTGACTACGGTGACACCATTGCCACATTCGTCAGTAAATTAATTTCCTCGTTCCCGTTATGGATAAAGCTTATCGTGACAGTGCGGGCTAATTTTCAGGTATGGAGTTGAGAACTTTCTTTTTACTTTATAACAACTTCCGCACCATTAAGACCTGAATTTCCAGTGATTGAGGTCAGAGATTGGTTATGTATGTGCAAAATTTTTTAGCTGAACCAGAAAAAAAACAAGACACAAGCAAGATTCTTAGTGACAAAAGGAAGAAAAAAAAGTATTTTACATCATGCTACTTTAAAGGAGAACTATGGGCTTAGGGCTTTTCCCCATAGTTCTCCTAAGGGTAACGGGAGGACACAAACTAGCGTCCTCCCATCGCCCTAAGCTCAGTATACTGAGACGCCGCAGCTGAAACGGATCCCGACAATTATGTCTGGATCTGCCCAGCTGGGTGAGTGACAGCTGGCTCTGCCTATCTAGAGGCAGAGCCAGCTCTACCCGCCCCCTCCCCCGTCCGTTCTGCCAGTCAGCGCTGGAGGATCGGAGCGGGGAGAGGAGGGGACGTTCACCCGCCAGGTCCCTTCCTCTCTCCCGAAACTGTCGGTCTCTCGGTCCATGACCGAGTGCCCGACTTTTAGGATGGGGTGACACCGAAATGACTGTCAGTCATTTTGGTGTCACCCCTGCAATGGTGTCACCCGTGTGTGGGCCGCACCCCCCTTGTGACGCCACTGCTGCTGCATAATATATGGCTTAGAAAATATGGTTCCCAGATTACTGGGAAAGGGAGTAGAGTGGACTGGCACAATAGAGCTACGCCTGGTAGGCTCTGCTCCCAATATATATTTTAAGGCTTAATTTTCCATTTTGACTGGAGTGTGCCCTTAAGGCGCATCCCACGCCACATGCAATTGAATGGCAATGCAATTCATAGAATTTGAGAGGGAATTTGTCATTTTTCCCTTCTCGCTTATTTTCAAAACTGCTGGTTCTATATCCCCAGAAAACTCCTGAATCCTTCCCAAGCAGGCAGACATCACCGCAAGGTTTTTCCAGCAAAATAATTACCTTGCCAGAGCAATCGCTCCGGTGTGTCAGTTTTTGTCTCTAAGCCGCGGTTATTATGGCCTTGCTGGTAATCCCACTTCACTTGCCAAAATACTTCTAAGTCGTTGTTGATCCTGGCGATGACATTACTTGCTCGTGTTTGTCTGCCAGGCAATTTACTAAATGCAATTTGAGGGAATGGAAAAGCGTTAGGCGTTCTGGAGCAGACAGCAGGCAAAATGATGCGGTTTTGTCACACGCCTGATGTTCAGCAGATTAATTTTTCATGTAGAGAAAGCAGCATACCATCTGCCGGGTCCGAGAGCCAACTTGTCATCTACCTGCGGCTCTGCAGCTGCTAAACTGGTGCTTCCCGCACATGCTGGGCTTTGTAGTTCTGCAGCTGCAAAGAATACATTGCCTGCAATCATTGTAACCCATATTTAAGAGCCTGTAACCCTTTATGTTATGGTGCCATTTCTATATATAGGTATTAGGTAACAACGTTAGGCAATCGGTGAATGGCTAATGCTGGATGGATTAACATTGCAGCTTTACTAGAAGGGAAAAATCTGATCAAGGATGCTATATAAACATTGCTTCTGTCTTTTCTAATAAGGTGTGGGTAAAGATGATTTATAGAGATCATCATAGTGTGCAGGTCTATTATTTGTTGGTCATCTACCAATCCATAATATGTTAACTTCCTTCCTGTACTTTGCTCTTTATACTGTGAATTATTTTATTTATTGATTTTTTTGCCTCAGTATAAAGGGCTTCAGAGACCACATTAAATAATTCACTTTAGATGCTTCCTTCACAGTAGCTTCCAATGTAATGTCCCTACCACACTCACTTGGTACAAAAACAAGCGTGAAAGCCTATGTCATGTTAAAATTAAATGTAAAAAAAAAACATACTCTTTATGTCTCTGCAATACATGTGGCCTCTCTATTTGTCCTTATTCACCGAAGCTGAAATTTTTTTTTTAAGGAGAACTGTCTAAGAGGGTATTTACCTGACTTAGAGAGACATTTTCTTAATTCCTATCGTGTCTACAGAACAGGAAGTAGAAGGGATATGATCCCAATAAGACTCCGAAAAAACTGACTCCATACTTGTCATTAACAAAACTATCAATCCAACTTGTGCTGGGCTGGTGCTGAAAACTTTTTAGCAGAGTGTGTATACTGTATGTAGAATTATCAGATTATACATACAGTGTATGTTCTACATTACTACATTGGACAAAATAAAGATGCCCTGTCACTAGACTATTCATTTCAACAACAATCTTCCCATAATATTATATGTGTTTAATTTATTTAACTGTAAAAGCCTCCCTTGTGTAGGCTTCCAAAAGGTCTTAGACTGATACTCTGCACCGCCATGTTCGCAGAGATTTCAGCAGAGTGGTCACTAAAGTGAAACTCTATAGCATGGGTAGGTAACCACGGCACTCCAACTAGGGTGAAACTTCAAATCCCATAATGCTCTTGATTCTGGGAGGTCATGCCTGTAGTTATCAGAATTTTGCAATGCCTTATGGGACTTGTAGTTTTATCCCAGATGGAGTGCCAAGGTTGCCTACCCCTGCTTTAATAGTATTCCCATCCACTTCTTCGCCAACTGCTACATAAAACGTTATATAGGGAGATGCATATGTAAGAAGAGAGGGGGCTGTGTTAGGGAGCTGACACTTTCTGGAATGTCAATTCCCTAGCAAGTCCAGAGGCATATTGCAAGTTAATAAAAATTGTCTATGTAAAGTAAAAATGAGAAATTCCGTTTTTTTGTGCTTTTATTTGCAATATGTTGATGACAGGGCCTCTTTAAGTGATGACATTTTCTAAGGTTAATATGCCTTTAACAAATGTGTGCTTTTGACAAATCTCTTTTTTTTTTCTTAATTCCAGGAAATAACAAGTTCACTGCCTCTATCCAAGATTTCCTTAGATGATTTCCCAGAGAACAAAGAAATCTACAATGACCTGAGCGCTTATATACAATACAGAAACAGCACTAGCCAGGAAATCGCTAACAATATCTCTATAAATGGCAAAACAGATGCCAGCAGTATCGGCAAACTGACAGACCACCTGGTGATGCTGAGCCAGGGCTCCTATCTATACCTGAAGCTCACCCTGGATCTTTTTGAAAAGGGCCACCTAGTCATCAAGAGCTCCAGTTACAAAGTGGTGCCCGTTTCCCTGTCTGAGCTGTATTTGCTCCAGTGCAATATGAAGTTTATGACCAATTCCGCCTTTGAGAAAGCACTTCCTATTCTGAACTTGTCTTTGGCCTCGTTACACCCCATGACAGACGAGCAGATTTTCCAGGCCATCAACGCAGGCAATGTTTATCCGGAGCACAACTGGAAAGACTTCCAGCAGCGGATGGAACATCTCTCGTCCTTTCTGATAAAAAGAAGGGATAAGACGCGCATGTTCTGCCACCCGTCTTTCAGGGAATGGCTAGTATGGAGAGCTGACGGAGAGAGTACGCAGTTCCTGTGTGAACCGCGGTAAGGGGTTCATTTTATATAAGCAACTAGAAAGATTACCTGTGACTAGAAATATTATCTATGGGCTTATTTACTAGGGTTAGCTGTGTTGCTCCATGACGACCAATCAGATATCTTTATTTTACTTTAAGGGCAGTAAAGAAATCTGATTTGTTGGTCTCGGTTGCTACATCGCGGACCCCATCAATGCTCCTTGTGTTTCCTTATTAAAGTGCAACTGAACTCAAAAAGTGAAGACCTGCCAAATTATAGAAAACATCTAACATGTTAATCGTACCATTGCAGTACCCTGAAAATTTTAACATTTATCTGGAATTCCTCCTGAAGAGTAGCAGTGCTTTTCCTGATATGTGAGTGTGCCTAAGGCACTCCTGCGCCTACAGCCTAATACCTCTATATGGCAGTGTGAGATTTAAGGCACTGCTGCTTCTGACTGCTAGTTCCAGTAGATTTAGAGTGAGGTTTGGTGATGTCACTACTGTGCAACTTGCTGGAGGCTCTAAACAAAGGAAGCAAAGCCCTGCTACTACCAAGACGGTAGTCCCCACACAGAGACAGTGCAGACTAAGACATGATTAGTCAGTAATGGAGAAAATATTATCTGTTTAGAGACCACAGGCAAAACCAGTGACCAGTTCTTTACCCTCTGCCTGCCTTTTTGGGCACAGTTTCCAGAGTTCAGTTAACCTTTAAATAATCCGTCTGCTACTAAAGTGTGCCAGTTCTGAGTTAGAGTTGCCAGCTGATTGGTTGCTATGGGCAAAAATAAGTTTCCTTACTGGACACTTTTTATTGATAAGTTCATTTGTGACCTTAAAGTGACACTAAACGCTGGAATTAAATCTTAAAAATGCATTCAAGTACTCTAACTATAAAGAAGTACATAGCTTATTTGTGTATCACTCGGCTGTAGATACTTAAATCATCTCTGAATTGCTGCTGATAGTGTCCTTTCTTCTGGAGGGGGGGTACTTTTGTTCCCCATGGTCCCTGTGTGCATTATAAAGTAGTCACTGCCCTAAGCTCTCTCCCGTGATGGACTACAATCTCACGTTTAGTTAGCTAATTTGTATGCAAGGAGAACGAGCTTAGAGTGGTGGCCACCCTCCAGAAGGAAGGACAGTGTCGGTACTAATTCAGAGATGATTTGAGGATCTACAGCCGAGTGATACACAAATAAGATACATTTTTGATAATAGTTAAGGTACTTGAATGCATTTGTAAGATTTAAATTAATTTACTGCATTGTGATGCCATTGATTTTGGCATCGCGGCTCCGGCGCACAGTTTACCTTCTGACTTGTTTGTGACCTCATTCTGACTTGCTTGTAACTTTTTGCTAAGCTGCCTATGCATTCCAATTGACTTCCATAGTGAGAAAAGCAGTTGTGATGCAAACATATAATCGCGTACACAATCCCTTACTAGTTTCTGCTCTCTCCAGTCCTTAAGATGTTTCCTGTTACAGCTGTTCTGAGCTCATTTAGGAAATCATTATGAATGAGACTCAATGTGGCCTCTGAGGGTCCCTAGGAAGTCTCCAAACCATCACCCAGCTTGATAGTGCTGTGTTCTGTATGATGGAGTCGCCGGTAGCAGGACTAGTCAGGGTTATCCAAGAAAGTGAGTCCTTGGAGGTAAAAATTGGCAGCTGGTTTTAAAATCAATAAAGTTAAACCAAATATCAATGTATAAGCTTTTTAATACTCAGAAGGGAAATAAGAAAATGTTGTGGTATATTTTATTAATGTACAGTCAGTCTATGCTAAAACGTATTGGCATGCTGTATTTTAAGCTGAGGAGTTAGCTTAAACATTGATAGAATGATTAATCACTAGGTCAGGTGCTTATTATTACCCACAATTGTTTTAGTATTCTAAGATGAGAAGATATCTTTATCTCTTGCCACAGTGACTCTTTATTACCACCCCTATATGAGACATGCAGTATGCCTTATAAAAAACTGGAATATCAAATGGGTCACCACTATCAATCACTCACATTCCAATTTTCCTTGGAACCTGATTGATTGCGTCAAGGCAAGCGTATGTTTTCAAGGTATAGATAGAGCAATATGTGTACATTGATTTTGGAATGCTGTGCATATAAACATGTGTTTCAAAATACCCCGCTGAGTAATTATAATCCATGTTCCATATCAGAAAGGGTTTTCTCTCATTATTCTCCTTTTCTTGTTCAATCTCTTATTGAAGTTTAAAGGCAACTTTTCCTTTACATAAGACTGTATTCTTTTGTCTAGTGTGTTGTGGGGGCATTTACCTGGTAATGCCAGCATTGTAAATAGTTTTTTCTTTTTGTTTCATCTTCATAAAGTAAAGTAGTTTGTCCTTTTGTTTTCAGAAGTGGACATGCCCTATTAGCATTCATGTTTTCTCGACAAGAAGGAAAATTAAATCGGCAGCAGACCATGGAATTGGGTCACCATATCTTAAAAGCGCACATATTTAAGGTACAGTTGTGATTTGCAGTGTGGAGTGAGTTGTTTTGAGCTGAGTGACCTTGAAGCTCTTGACACCTAGAAAAGCCGTTGACTTTTTATTTGTAGATTGTATTCCTTAGTAATTGGCAGTGGGATTTAAAGAAGGAAATCTGTATAAACTATTAAAAATTAGGTATTTTTTTGCAGCCTTTATTGGAAACCTGGACTGAGAGAATATGAAGGTTTCCATTGCTGACCTTTCTTCCTAAAATACTAGTTACCTGGCTGTCATGCTGATCCAATAGCTTCAGTGAGCGGTATACAGATCAGGGGTTCTAAATTCGTGTTGGCTTTCAATTCTGCTCCAGGTAAGTAACTGAAAGTATGCAATCCAGGCAACTAGTATTCTTAGGGGTCGGAGATGGCTACCTCCTTATTTGTCTCTGTCCTGGTTTAATTTGAAGTGCAATTATCAATAATAAGGGTCCCCATGGCTTTAGCCAAAATGTACAGGTATGCGCCGAATGGCCTCCTTCAGTAATGCCACCTCCCCATTGTCTTCAGCCCTCTCTCTTAGCCGTCCTGAGTTGACATATCTCACACACATGCGCCCAGGACTTACTTTGTCTTGCATTTACTCACATCAGGCTGATATTGTACTGTGAGCTGCAGATGTGCAGCTGCCAATGTACAATAAGAAAAAATAGGTAGCTGGAAAGGAAAGAGAAAAGATGGCAGAGACAGGCATATATCGACTCTGTCACAATGCTAAGCAGGAGCAGTTAATTTCTAAATTCCTCCCTCAGCTGTTTAAAAGTAGCCCTACGACAGAATGAAAACTAACTCTAGATACTTCTCAATTATACATCTATTTAATGGGAAAATGTGTCTATATATATATATATACAGTGATAAATCTGTTGCAGTGTGCAAACTGTCACAGTTGGCTGCCCAGGATCACATGTGCAAGGATCATAAATAGACCTTAAACCTGACACGTAGACTTCATTATGCAAAATGCCTTTTTTTATTTTATTTTTTAAACATTCTTTAATTTTATTTACTGCCATTTGGTACCATTTAGCCATATATTTTAGTGTATGTATAGGCGAATGTGATCAAGCTCCTTCCACCCAACGCTTATGTTGTGAGGCCAGATGTTATGGTCTACAACCAACTTAAATGTTACCTGTCAGGATGGACATATGCAACTAACTACTGATGACTTGCTTTTGAAGATGCAGACTGTCTCCATCTTCTTTGTGGGGATGGTGATTAACCAGATAGTAGAGCATGGATGAGAATGACAACTTTGTTGCTTCTATCTTCAAAAATATGTCAGCAGTGCAAGGTCGCATGTGTCAAAACGTATATGAGAAGCCAGAAAATAAGTGACTGTCACCAGTTTTAGATCTGAAATGGTCTAAATAATCTACCAATAACATGCAAGTTTATAGTACTACATTGTGCTGCCTAGTTAGCTTCTGACTAGCTTTGGGCGAATAGAAACTCAGGACAATCCAGTGACCAGGTATGGTTCTGTGTGTATGGTTAATGTATACAAGCTCCTGTTGCCCCTACATGGAGCTCATACTCCAAACATCTAGGTTTCTTGCAATGTATATCAACTTCTGTTGCCCCTTCATGGAGCTCTGCTTATACACTAAGCATCTAAGTCTCTCGAATATGGCTCTGAAGAAGCTATAAGGGAGACGGGGACCCTAGACA